CGATTTGCACGAAATTTGGCATAGCGTAATGAATTAGGCCTAGAATGATGTGTGTTAAGTTTCCTGAAAATCGGTTCAGATTTAGATATAGCTCCCATATATATTTTCATACGATTTTATGTAAATGGTGTACCAATGGCCCTATATATCTTTCGATTTGCACGAAATTTGGTATAGTGTAATGAATTAGGTCTAGAATGATGTGTGTAAAGTTTCCTGAAAATCGGTCGAGATTTAGATATAGCTCCCATATATATTTTCGTCCGATTTTATGTAAATGCTGTACCAAAGTCCGTATATATCTTTCGATTTGCACGAAATTTGGCATAGCGTAATGAATTAGGCCTAGAATGATGTGTGTTAAGTTTCCTGAAATTCGGTTCAGATTTCGATATAGCTCCCATATATATTTTCGTCCGATTTTATGTAAATGCTGTACCAAAGTCCGTATATATCTTTCGATTTGCACGAAATTAGGCACAGCGTACTGAGTTAGGTTTAGAATGATGTGTGATAAATTTCCTGAAAATCGGTTCAGATTTAGATATAGCTCCCATATATATTTTCGTCCGATTTTATGTAAATGCTGTACCAAAGTCCGTATATATCTTTCGATTTGCACGAAATTTGGCATAGCGTACTGAATTAGGTCTTGAATGATGTGGGTTAAGTTTCCTGAAATTCGGTCCAGATTTAGATATAGCTCCCATATATATTTTCGTCCGATTTTATGTAAATGCTGTACCAAATTCCCTATATATCTTTCGATTTGCACAAAATTTGGCATAGCGTAATGAACTAGGTCTAGAATGATGTGTGTTAAGTTTTCTGAAAATCGGTCCAGATTTAGATATAGCTCCCATATATATTTTCGTCCGATTTTATGTAAATGGTGTACCAATGACCCTATATATCTTTCGATTTGCACGAAATTATGCACAGCGTACTGAGTTAGGTTTAGAATGATGTGACTTAAGTTTCCTGAAAATCGGTCCAGATTTAGATATAGCTCCCATATATATTTTCGTCCGATTTTATGTAAATGCTGTACCAAAGTCCGTATATATCTTTCGATTTGCACGAAATTATGCACAGCGTACTGAGTTAGGTTTAGAATGATGTGTCTTAAGTTTCCTGAAAATCGGTCCAGATTTATATATATCTCCCATATATATTTTCATCCGATTTTAGTAAAATAGTGTACCAAAGACCCTATATACCTTTCGATTTGCTCGAAATTTGGCAAAGCGTAATGAATTAGGCCTAGAATGATGTGTGTTAAGTTTCCTGAAAATCGGTCCAGATTTAGATATAGCTCCCATATATATTTTCGTCCGATTTTATGTAATACTGTACTAAAGTCCCTATATATTATTCGATTTGCACGAAATTTGGTATAGTGTAATGAATTAGGTCTAGAATGATGTGTGTAAATTTTCCTGAAAATCGGTCCAGTTTTAGATATAGCTCCCATATATATTTTCGTCCGATTTAGTGTAAATGGTGTACTAAAGTCCCTATATATCATTCGATTTGCACGAAATTTGGCACAGCGTACTGAATTAGGTCTTGAATGATGTGTGCTAAGTTTCCTGAAATTCGGTTCAGATTTCGATATAGCTCCCATATATATTTTCGTCCGATTTTATGTAAATGGTGTACCAAATGGTATCCTGTCTGTCTTATAACTCTTTTGGAAAGATATGAGAAAATCCGCAAAGAAATGTGACATCGACTCAGAAAGATCTCCAAATAAATAACTTAAGTCCTTGGCGATGTTTTTTTAATCTAAATTGTAGGTGGCGTATGCCAATTGGTGTAAGGTATACGCACGAATGTTCTGAGCGTATACATAACGTCAGTAGTCATACGCCACCTAGTGACTGGATTATAAAAACCCCGATTAGCCCTGATTTTTATTTACAATTTTACTTCGAATCTTCTCAACCTGTCTCATATCACCCCCAGGCTCTTATATTTATTAGATAAATAGGTTAAATTGTGTCAGAGTGTGCGTGTGTGTGGCTGTGCGTACGTGAGTAAGTGCATATCACATTCTTCGCCATCTCCGCCGTCAATGCCATACAAGTTGTCTTCTTTCTTTTATTATGGATTGAAGATATCAATGCTAGACAAAGTTTGTTTTAACAATAAACGAAACTGAGTGGTGAAGCGAACCGCACCACACTGTACCGTACCCCACACCCATATTTCGAACTCAAGGAAAGGATTGGCAAGGCATGACAACGACAAAACCACCAGCAGGCAACGAACAACAACAGCCAACAACATCACGAACAGCAGTCGGAACAGCAGGCAAGGCATTAAGATTTTAGCCTTCAACTATGCACTGCACAAACACACACACACATACGCACCCACACACACACACTCCCACACATACATACCTACAACCACAAGCACCTCCAGTAATGCTAAGGCGGACTTTTATCCCAAACAAAGTTTGTTCGACGTTCTACCAAATTCTGGTTGTGGATGTGTGTGGGAGTGTGTGTGTGTTTTGTTAGTGAGGAGGGCGAACCGATTCTTCTGTCTCCTAGGAAAGCTGTCAAGTGATGCACACAACAGTGTTTACATGTCATCCATTCAAGCAAACAATTGCAACAAATTGTTGGTGAAAAACCCCGAAAAGTTTATCGATCAAAATTACATTATGTCGTGGTGGCACTGACAGAACCCCCCCGTGCCAAATACGCTGTGCCAAATTTCATGCAAATCGAATGATATATAGAGACTTTGGTGCACCATTTACCTTAAATCGGACGAAACTATATATGGGAGCTATATCGAAATCTGAGCCCACTTTTTCGAAACTTGGCACACATCATTCTAGACCTAATTCATTACGCTGTGCCAAATTTCGTGCAAATCGGCAGTTATTAAGGGACTTTGGAACATCACTTACCTTAAATCGGACGAAAATATATATGGGAGCTATATCTAAATCGGAATCGATTTTCACGAAACTTAACACACATATTTCTAGGCTTACTTTAGTACGCTGTGCCAAATTTCGTGTAAATCGAAAGATAAGTAGGGACTTTGGTACCCCATTTACATTAAATCGGAGGAAAATATATATAGGAGCTATATCGAAATCTGAACCGATTTTCAGGAAACTTAACACACATCATTCTAGGCTTAATTTAGTACGCTGTTCCAAATGTCGTGCAAATCGAGTGCTATATAGGAACTTTGGTGCACCATTTACCTTAAATCGGACGAAAATATATATGGGAGCTATATCTAAATCTGAACCGATTTTCAGGAAACTTAACACACATCATTCTAGGCCTAATCCATAACGCTGTGCTAAATTTCGTGCAAATCGAAAGATATATAGGGACTTTGGTGCACCATTTACATTAAATCGGACGAAAATATATATGGGAGCTATATCTAAATCTGAACCGATTTTCACGAAACCTAACACATATCATTCTAGGCCTAATTCATTACGCTCTGCAAAATTTCGTGCAAATCGAAAGATATATAGGGACTTTGGTGCACCTTTTACATTAAATCGGACGAAAATATATATGGGAGCTATATCTAAATCTGATCCGATTTTCTGGAAACTTAACACACATCATTCTAGGCCTAATTCATTACGCTCTGGCAAATTTCGTGCAAATCGAAAGATATTAAGGGACTTTGGAACATCATTTACCTTAAATCGGACGAAAATATATATGGGAGCTATATCTAAATCGGAATCGATTTTCAGGAAACTTAACACATATCGTTGTAGACTAAATTCAGTACGTTATGCACAAATTTCGTGCAAATCGGAGGATATATATAGAATATATAGGGATCATTTACATAAAATCGGACGAAAATATATTTGGGAGCTATATCTAAATTTGAACTGATTTTCAGGAAACTTAACACACATCAGTCTAGGCCTGATTCATTACGCTCTGCCAAATTTCGTGCAAATCGAAGGATATATAGGGACTTTGGTGCACCATTTGCGTAAAATCGGACGAAAATATATATGGGAGCTGTATCGAAATATGAACCGATTTTCAGGAAACTTAACACATATCATTCTAGACCTAATTCATTACTCTGTGCCAAATTTCGTGCAAATCGAAAGATATATAGGGACTTTGGTGCACCTTTTACATTAAATCGGACGAAAATATATATGGGAGCTATATCTAAATCTGATCCGATTTTCTGGAAACTTAACACACAACATTCTAGACCTAATTTAATTCGATTTGCCAAATTTCGTGCAAATCGAAAGATATATAGGGACTTTGGTGCGCCATTTACATTAAATCGGTCGAAAATATATATGGGAGCTATATCTAAATCTGAACCGATGTTTAGGAAATTTAACACACTTCTTTCTGGGCTCAATTCATTAACCTGTGCCAAATTTCGTGCAAATCGCAAGATATATAGGGACTTTGCTGCACCATTTACAATAAATCGGACGAAAATATACATGGGAGCTATATAAAAACCGATTTTTCTCAATTTCAATAGGGTTCGTCCTTGGGTCAAATAAGTGACTTGTGCCAAATTTCATCTAAATCGGATCATAAATGCGACCTGTACTTTGTTCACAAAAATACATGTACGTCCGGACATGCGTAAATCGACAGACGGACATGCATAAATCGACTCAGAAAGTGAACCCATGCATATTCTCAAAAGGAACCAAGTGTCTATCTCGTTTCCTTTTGCCTGTTACAAACATATGCTCCAAGATATAATACCCTGTACCACAGTGTGGTGAAGGGTATAAAAATAGGCGTGGATTTTTTAGAACTATTTTTTTGAGGCTATAAAAATTAATTGAGTAATTAATTAAAATTGTCATTAACGTAATGAATGAAAGGATCATTAACTTCGGTCATTTAACAAGGAAACCCACTCGCCTCCACCCTGCCAAAAAATAAGCAATTTATTTTCCATTGAAGCATATGGACTCAGTTACCTGTGAACCATCGAACCTTGAAAACATGGCCTATCCAACACAACGAGGAAAACTAAAACGAAGAAAACAATTGGAAATCTATTGTCTGGGAAATTTAAAGAAATATTTGCAAGAGACCACCCTACATGGCCTCAAGTATTTGGCGGATACCTCCCTGACAAATTGGGAAAAGTAAGTGCAGAAAAATTAGAAAAAAAATCTCAGATCTCCTTTCCATTACAAAAAAATTCCCCAAGATTATTTTTCTTTATCGCCTTTGTGTTCTGCTTCATTGCGGTGGTGCATCTGACCGTCAACATCTATGCCAAATGGGATAGTACCCCAGTAATGATTGGCATAAGTCCACAGCCGACATCGATTGAGAAGCTACCACTACCCGCCTTGGTTTTGTGTAACATGAATCAGGTCATGTATTCGAAGGTGGTTAATTACACCAAGTAAGGGGATATTATTTTTGAAAAAAAAAACGGGGGGATCTTATTTTTCCGATTTTTTGCCAGAGGTTCCAAGGAAGATGCTCTCCTCCAGTATTTATGTTATTCGGAAATTGCCTATGACAGTAGAAAGGCTAATTCTAAGGAATTTAAAAATAATGATTTGGAGCTGGCGAATTTTATTATTGCGGTAAGTATAGGGGAGGATCATGAAACGGCAGGTATTGAAGTGAAGCTCTTCATTTCAGCATTCGCAACCCTGCTCTCGTATGATGGTTGCCTGTATAATCGGTTCCGTGGCCTACAATTGCAGTGAGCTGTTTCGTGAAGTTGTAACCGATGAGGGTCTCTGCTGTGCCTTCAACACATTGCATCCCAATTTTTTATATAAAGCAAAGTAGGTAAAAAAATATGTTTCAAAAATCCACGCCTTGGGTTATACCCTGAAAATTTTTTAAAAAAATTCCCGCATAGGGTTATACCCTGAAAAAAATATGTTTAAAAAAAGTCATGCCTTGGGTTATACCCTGAAAAATATTTTTAAAAAATCCACGCCTTGGGTTATACCCTGAAAAAAATATGTTTAAAAAATCCACGCCTTGGGTTATACCCTGAAAAATATTTTTAAAAAATCCACGCCTTGGGTTATACCCTGAAAAATATTTTTAAAAAATCCACGCCTTGGGTTATACCCTGAAAAATATGTTTAAAAAAATCCACGCCTTGGGTTATACCCTGAAAAATTTTTAAAAAAATTCCCGCCTAGGGTTATACCCTGAAAAAAATATGTTTAAAAAATCCACGCCTTGGGTTATACCCTGAAAAAATATTTTTAAAAAATCCACGCCTGAGCAAAGGCCAGCAAAAAATATTTTTAAAAAATCCACGCCTGAGCAAAGGCCCTGAAAAATATTTTTAAAAAATCCACGCCTTTTTGTAGAGCCCTGAAAAATATTTTTTAAAAAACTCCACGCCTTTTTGTAGAGCCCTGAAAAATATTTTTAAAAAATCCACGCCTTGGGTTATACCCTGAAAAATATTTTTAAAAAATCCACGCCTTGGGTTATACCCTGAAAAATATTTTTAAAAAATCCACGCCTTGGGTTATACCCTGAAAAATATTTTTAAAAAATCCACGCCTTGGGTTATACCCTGAAAAATATTTTTAAAAAATCCACGCCTTGGGTTATACCCTGAAAAATATTTTTAAAAAATCCACGCCTTGGGTTATACCCTGAAAAATTTTTAAAAAAATTCCCGCCTAGGGTTATACCCTGAAAAAAATATGTTTAAAAAATCCACGCCTTGGGTTATACCCTGAAAAATATTTTTAAAAAATCCACGCCTTGGGTTATACCCTGAAAAATATTTTTAAAAAATCCACGCCATGGGTTATACCCTGAAAAAAATATTTTTTAAAAAATCCCGCCTTGGGTTATACCCTGAAAAAATATGTTTAAAAAATCCGCGCCTTGGGTTATACCCTGAAAAAATATTTTTCAAAAATCCACCTGAAAAATCTACCCTAAAATATATTTTTATTTAAATTTAAACCTAATATTCCAGCTTTCGCACCCTGGACGGCCTTAAAACTGGTCCCGATGTTGTACCGGTTGATTGGAATCCTGAAATGGGTTATCCGTCAAATTTACCCCCTAAATACTATCCACGGTCAACATTGGGTAAGTTCCCTCACATCCAAAATCCAATTCATTTTTTGAACACCCCATCCCTCCCCCTCTCTTTCCTAGGTACCGGCATCTCCATGGGCGTTTCGGTCATCCTAAATGCCGAAGTTGATGAATACTACTGCTCGACAAGTAATAGTGCCGGGTTCAAAGTAAATCTTGGCACCCCCATTGACAGACCCCTGGTCGGTGAAACAGGCGTTATTGTACCCTTGGGTGCCACAACCAGTTTTCGTATCGATGCCCAAATTAGCCAATCCTCACCGGCGATACGTTCGATAAATCGTCGTCGACGTCGCTGTGTGTTCCTCAATGAAGAGTCGCTCGTTTTTTATCGTTACTACACGAAGACCCATTGTGAATATGAATGCCTCTCGGCATTCCTTATCGAACGATGTGGTTGCATTCCCTTGTATATGCCGGTTATCTATGCGAATGCCACCTTTTGTAACATCAGTCGGATGTTTTGTGCGGACACGGCTAAGTTGGAATATTCCAGGGCCACAAATGATAAGTGCACGGCTCGCTGTCAGACAACCTGTTTTGATTTGAGTTTTACACCGGATGCATTTACCTCACCCCTGGCTATGGATAATTATACGATACAGAGTAAAATATTGTCTGACATGTCCAAGGAGGAGGTGCAAAGGAATATTGCCGTATTGCATTTCTATTATCGTGAATCGGTCGTACATGCGGAACTGAAAAATGTCTATATTGGGTTTACGGAATTTTTGTGTAAGTTTGGAAAATAGTCCTTAGGTTCTGAATAGTAATTTCAAAAATTCTACCTTTTTAAAATTTCCAGCCAATACCGGTGGCATTTTGGGCCTCTTTATGGGCTTCAGTTTTATTTCCATAGCGGAAATTGTCTATTTTGCATTTCTAAGGCCAATTTTCAAATTTGTGGTGCCGCGGAAATTTCGCAATTCTCCATTGATACGTCACGTGCGTGCAGCTCCAAGGGTAAGTAGTGGTAGAGAGAAAATATTTTTTTCCATTTAACCTCACTTTTTTCTCACGGGGTTCTATTTTTGTAGGAAAATAAAAATTGGCTACCAGGGGAAATTTGCAAGGCTACCTTGAAGCTGGATCGGTCACATGGTGAGGAGAAGGAAAGGAGTGAAAAGGAAAGGCTGTAAATTGGAAATAAATACAATTTGTTCGAGGCCTTCAATAAACCTCAAGGACCAAAAATTGGTAGACAAATAGGCGTGGATTTTTTAAAAATTATTTTTTAGGGTCTTCACACAAGGCGTGGATTTTTTAAAAATTATTTTTTAGGGTCTCCCTCCACACAAGGCGTGGATTTTTTAAAAATTATTTTTTAGGGTCTTCACACAAGGCGTGGATTTTTTAAAAATTATTTTTTAGGGTATAACCCAAGGCGTGGATTTTTTTAAAAAATATTTTTTAGGGTATAACCCAAGGCGTGGATTTTTTAAAAATTATTTTTTAGGGATTTTTTTTAAAATTATTTTTTAGCGTCTCCCTCCACATAAGGCGTGGATTTTTTAAAAATTATTTTTTAAAAAAAATATTTTTTAGGGTATAACCCAAGGCGTGGATTTTTTAAAAATTATTTTTTAGGGTATAACCCAAGGCGTGGATTTTTTAAAAATTATTTTTTAGGGTATAACCCAAGGCGTGGATTTTTTAAAAATTATTTTTTAGGGTATAACCCAAGGCGTGGATTTTTTAAAAATTATTTTTTAGGGTATAACCCAAGGCGTGGATTTTTTAAAAATTATTTTTTAGGGTATAACCCAAGGCGTGGATTTTTTTTAAAATTATTTTTTAGGGTATAACCCAAGGCGTGGATTTTTTAAAACAACAATTTTGGGTCTACAAATAGGCGTGGATATGTTACAAAATTGTGTTCAGGCTCTAAATATAGGCGTGGATTTTTTAAAAATATTTTTCCAGCCTCTACAAATAGTGGCGTATGACTAATGCCATTGTGTATGCACCAATATGATCTGTGCGTATATATAACGTCAGTAGTCATACGCCACCTAGTGCATGGATTAAAAACCACCATTTAGCCCTGATATTCTTTAATTGTACATCGAAAAGTTTCACTGTCTCCGGCGTTTTTAATTTGTTAACGACTTACCATAGTAGTCCTGAATTTTTTTGAAACCTAACAAAATTCTGAATACTTGAAAATATTTTTTTAGAACCTAAAATAGTCCAGCATTTATGTTTTGATAATATTTTAAGGTCTAACATCTCTGCTGAAGTCAGTTCTTCCTTCAATATTATTTTGGTTGAGTTTTTAGTTGTTCCCAGTATTACATTGTTACGAGTTCCCAGTATTTTTTTTCCTTCATTCTAATTTTATGAATCAACCAAAACCTTCGAAAACATTTAAAGACACCCTCCGCCTATACCCTGCCAAGCAAATGAAATATCCCCCATCAGCTGTCCTTCATTCTAAATGCCAAAGAGATAGAATTCCTCTTGGATTCGGAATTGAAAGAAAGGAAAAATAGCAACGCTTGGCGGATGACAACGATAAGCTGTGGCTGCTGTTCTATACGGTTGTGTTCGGCTATGTTTGTATGTAAATATGTGGCCTTAAGGTACATGTTGGTTCGATGGTTGGTTGTTCGGTACAACCGCTTGGGTTGAGCATGCTAAAATATGCATTAGTGTAAATATTAGCAAACAGGTTCGGATACCCTGCCAGTGACACAGTCAATGAATGGCGTTGACTATGTCACTGGTGTAACCGGGATTATTTAGTAAATTGTTGTTGTTGTTGTAGAAAATATAGCATGGTTTAGAGAAAAATATATGTGCTGGCTGTTGAAATGGTTGTACCGATGAATGTGTTGATGTTCGGTTGTTGTTGTGTAAAGAGGTGATAAAATGTATGTGCTGGTAAGAAAAGTTCTGACCATTACCTTTCCCCACTTGGGTACATACAAGGGATGTTAATATCTACAATAGCATGTAGATAGGGCAGATATAGAATCTGTGGAGGAGCATTGAGATGGAATCGGTCATTCGGTGCACCATTTACATAAAATCGAACGAAAAAATATATAAGACCTATATCAAAATCTGAACAGATTTCAACAAACCTTATCACACGTAATTTTTTCCTCAATTGCATTCGTTATGCAAAATTTTGTCTCAATCGGACAAATATTGGGAGTTTAATGTATCATTCACAAAAAAAAAAGATCGGATGAAACTATATAGGGGAGCTATATCTAAATCTGAACCGATTTTAACAATACTTCGCAGACCTCAGTCTGAACCTCTTTCAGTACTCTTTGGAAAATTTTGTCTCAATCGGACAAATATTGGGAGTTTGGTGCGTCATTCGCATAAAATCGAACGATACTATATATGGAAGCTATATCTAAATCTGAACCGATTCCAACACAACTTCGCAGACATCAATCTGGACCTAATTCAGTACTCTGTGCAAAGTTTTGTCTCAATCGGACAAATATTGGGAGTTTGTGTCACTATTTGGATAAAATCGGACGAAAATATATATGGGAGCTATATCTAAATCTGAACCGATTTTAACAGAACTTCGCAGACATCAGTCTGGACCTCATTTAGTACTCTGTGCAAAATTTTGTCCCAATCGGACAAATAGTGGGAGTTTGGTGCATCATTCACAAAAAAAAATCGCACGAAACTATATATGGGAGCCATATCTAAATCTCCACCGATTTTAACAAAAATTCCCAGACATCAGTCTGGACCTCTTTCAGTACTCAGTTCGCTGTGCTAAATTTAGTCCCAATCGGACAAATATTGGGAGTTGGGTGCATCATTTACATAAAATCGGACGAAAATATATATGAGAACTATATCAAAATCTGAACCGATTTTCTCTAATTTCAATAGGGTTCGTCCTTAGGCTAAATTAGTGACCTATGCCAAATTTCATCCAAATCGGATTATAAATGCGACCTGTATTTTGTTCACAAAAATACATGGATGGACGGACGGACAGACGGACATGCGTAAATCGACTCAGAAAGTGATTCTATGAATATTGTCAAAAGGAACCTTGGGTCTATCTCGATTACTTTTGCCTGTTACAAACATATGCACATAGACATAATACCCTGTACCACAGTGTGGTGAAGGGTATAAAAGGTATGAGTGATCATCAGGGTAGGGTTGGCAATGTGGAAATTAAAAGAAAAATATATCGGATATATGAAATTTGGGAATGAGATGAACGAGTGTGTATACGTAACAACGTACCTCATACGCCTCTATAGCCGGGCGTATACATAACGTCACAAATCATACGCTCCATGTTCTTAAAATTCAATAAATTAAAATTTGAAAGTCTTCATAAGGCCTGATGTTTTTAAAACATATTTTTCAGGCTCTACAAATAGGCGTGGTTTTTTTTTAACATTACACAACTATGTTGTCAGGGTAATATAGCTTTGTGCAGCCCCAAAAGTTTGTAACGCCGCGAAATATTGGTCCTAGACCCACCTTTATGTGTACCGATCATATCATATCTCGACTAGCTGAGTCGATCTAGACATGTGTGTCCGTCCGCCTGTCTATTAAAATTGTAAACACGATACAGGCCACAGTTATGGAACAATCTTCATGAAATTTTGCATGTAGGATAGGTTCTGGCCAATGAAGACCCCTATCGTTTTTGGTAAATATCAGTTAATATTTAGGGGATGAAATGGACCAAAAATTTTATTTTTGTCTGATTTTCTGGTCGCTCCAGAGGCCGCAATTATGGCCTAAACATCGCGAATTTTTGCATAAAGATCGGTCAATATTTAGCGGGTCAAATGGACCCATACTTTTGTGTGAAAAATTACAAAATTTGTATTCTATGGCATATATATTTACTCCTGAAGGACATAGACCCGAGAAATTGATAGTATATCCAAGAGGAGTTGTTGGTCTTTAAATTGATACCAGTTATATTGTCGTATGTAGTCGGATATGAGATACGTATTCAGATATTATTTAGTAACCCATTACCACACTGTAGGGCGAAAATAAGCGTTGATAGCTTTCCATGAGGTTCCGGTTATGGTCAACGCCTATAATTTGCGGTGATGATCAGATAATGATATTGTTATGAAGTGGACCGAAACTTATTTTTATTACCACAGTTATAAGCCGAATATTACACTGGAAAATGAATCTGACCAACTAATTTAATGGGCTTTTGTAATGATCTGTCACGATTCAGCGGGTCAAGTCAATCAAGACCATTCTGTGTAAAATGAAAAAAATTGGATATTATAATATAAAACATAATTCGAAATAGATGTCATGGCAGGAAATAGGAGCTATTGACCTATAATCGGTTAAGAGGGTGCAAATATCGCGAACTATTGCCCATTCTTGGAATATAGATCTGCAGAAAGTTAGAGTTCTGTGGTAGTTGTGTAGGGTATCATATGGTCGGCTCCGACCGACTATACGGCTCCGCTCACTGGTTTAAAGAATATTTCTTCAAGGTTCTGCAGAGGCGTGGATCTTTGAACGAATATTTTTTCAAGGTTCTACAGAGGCGTGGATTTTTGAACGAA